CCTTCTGTTTGGCTTGGTTTTTTCCTAAAGAGTTTTGATGAGCTTTATGGAAACTTAGCTAGCATTTGGGGAATTCTCGGGGGTAATGGGAAATTACACACATTGTTTCTTGAGTCCCCAGAAACATTTATTTTGAGCATCTCTAAGGATTTGGGATTTCTTTGGGATCAGCCAACCTAGACTTTTCAAAAAGCAAACCCAAGAGAATCTTTGCTAGTGACAGGTGTGTAACTGGGGATGTGAGTGTCCTCCCAGTCCGCCTCTCTGTATCTTCCTTTTTCTGCCTTCACTCAATACAGAGGCATTGGCTTGGCCCCTTAGTGACCTGCAAACTTGGCAAGTGCCAAACTTGGCACTGGAGATAAAGAGGTGAACAAATATAGACATCCCCTAGTTCCCATGGGGCTGGTATTGCATCAAGAGAAGGGAAAGAGGTAAATAAATATAGAAGAGATTTGCTAAGCTCTGTGAAAGGATGGTGGTGAGTCTCACAATGTCCTTAAGATGATGGTTGAGAAAAGAGGCATCACTCTGGGGAGGTGACTGGGTCGGACAGGCAGAGCCAAGCATGGTTTGTCAGGTTTAAGGAGAGCCCTGATGGTGCAGTGGGTAATGTGCCAGGCTATTAACCATGAGATTGGCAATTTGAATCCACCAGGCTCCAAGGGAGAAGTTTGGGCATTCTCTCTCTCTTCCCCCATTGGCATTTACAACCTTGGAAAACCAATGGATAACCAACAAGGCAGAATCAACTCAATAGAAGTGGCTCTCAGTTTGATGGTGGCATGAGTTTCTGGCCCTGTTCTAACACAATGAGTATGTCCCAACACCATGGTCAGTTCCTTCCCAGCAGACAGCAGGTCCTAACACAGGTCCTGGTTTTAACATGGCAGGTGGTTCAGACATGGTAGTCAGCTCCTAACATGACTTTCTAGTCCTCACCCAGTTCTCTGGTCTTAGTTCTAATATAGCAACACGTCCTTACATGGTGATCAGGTTAAGGTAGTGTTCAGGGTTAGGGTGGTCAAATCCTAGTTCTCATATGACTGGAGCTTCTGGTTCGAACATAGTCATCGCTTCCTAGTCCTGACATCCTGGGGGTCAAGTTCTCACATGAGGAGTGTATCTATCCTAACACTGCAGTGTGGTCCTCGTCTTAACATGACAGCAGGTCCTGGGGTCAAGTAGTCATGAGACATTGCTCCCTCACGGCCATCTATGTCCCTGGGAACTGCCTTTGGACTGCGCACAGCCAGCGCTGAGGACGTGGGGTTGCCGACGTGCCTGGCATACACGGCTGCAGGGGTGGTGATCAAGTCCACATCCTCCCTAATAACCTTGTGTCTAAATTGTCGTGTCACACAAGGGCATGTTTAGAAATTAGCATTTGAAAAGGAGCCTCCTTGCTTTCAGTTTAAGCTGACATGGTTCCTTTTCCTCGGTGGAAATGAAATTTATTAATCATAATAAAACCATCAGATTCAGAATGCAGAGGTCACCCTGAGGAGAGAAGGTGGCTGTTCATTTGCGAGGATTAGTTCAGCGCTGCGTTATTTTTCTTCGGCCTCAGAAGAGAATACTGCCAAACTGTTACTTTAGGTTTGCTGCAAAGGTCAAAGTCATGCCCAATGTTATCTATAAAGAAAGACTTGCCATTAAAGTATGTGAAGGGAGGAGGAGAAGCAGTGTTTTTATTAAGCACATTCCTACTCCCATCCCCTTAACTTCCAAAAGAGAGAGACAGATTTTTGCCACAGGAAACTCTATGAACTTGGGAAAATGACGATATAGAACAGGCTTCAGGTCTTTTGTTCATAGGGTCGCTATGAGTCGTGTCCGACTCAATGGCACTTAACAACACAGATAATATTAACATTTTCACACTCTCTCTGAATGAGCACCTGGGTCATGATAGTGCCAGTGTTTGCAAGATTTTTCGTTTCTCTTTAAGGTTAAGGCCTTGTTCATATAACCCTGGTAAAAGCACATCAAAAATAATTCTGTTAACAGGGTCTTTCTCTAGACCCATCTCAGAGTTCATTTTCTAATGAACATAATTAGCGCTAAAGTTGTGAATCATTTCCTCTTACCCTTTTTCTAATATCTACCTGTGTTGGTGGTAGTTGTGGTTGTTTCCCACTCATAAGAACCAGGCTCATAAGGACCCAACATATGTAGAATAGAATCTCCAGAAGAGTTTTCAAATACTCATTCACCCTAAAGACCTCACTCTCCTTAAACATTTTGTGTCTGAATTGTAGTGTCACAAACATGGGACACTGTATTTGAATATGGACTCAAAGCAGTCAACCTTTGTGCTAGTGTTTGAGGCGACTCCCCTGCTTCTCGTTGAGTGGAAAGCAGCCTAAGTGTCTTGAGTAAGCGTCATGAGTAAATGATTCCTTCAACATTCCATTATTCTTGCAGTAGCACACCCTCTGCTTGAGGTTCTCTCTATCCTTCTCTCATAGAGGCAGGAAAAATGTCTCATATTAAAGCCATTTCTGATGAATACAAGGATTGAGGAGGAGCTCAAGGAATGACAGTCAGAGAGAGTTGACTGTTTGCTCTTTCTACTGGAGATTGATCTCATTTTGTGGCCCACCTTATGTGGAGATTAAACATAGCAGCCCACGAGCCTCAACAGAAGGACAACCATGGGTTATAATCCATGGCTCAGAGGTTTCCCTGGAGTCAGGGAAAAGCTTCTCTCCTGGTCGTAACACATCTTTGCTAGTCATCCCTTCTAAACTCCTGGTCTGACCTGTTCCCTTGACTTGCATAGGAATCTCTCTTTTAGGCTCTACTTCCGGAAGAGCCAGCCCAAGAGTATCTCAATGTTGATCAGTTCCCAAATAGTGACTTCCATTCAACCCCTAACACAGCAAGGGTATCTGACACCACAGAGTGGACATAGGAGTTAACACCTAGAGACTCATTCACCCGTCTTAGAAAAGTGATGGGCTTCCTCTGGACGCTAACTTAGTGACCGTATTCAGGTCTTGATATTTAGTAGGGATCCAATGCACCAGGCTTCCATTCTGTCTTCACTTGTATTCCAACATCTGTACTGGAAGCTGTGGTACTGGGTGGTAGGGAGGAGGTAATAATAAGACAGAGAAAAAACTCAAAGATGAGAATATATCATCAGGAAATATTGTTTCTTGAGTGTTCCTTTCCAGAGCCAGGCCCTAGACTGATGAAATAGAAATTCTTAGGTGACAGGATCAAAATTGAATCAGGTTCCCATTCAGAAGTGGAGGTGAGGTTTCACACACCCTTCAAGGACATTGCTGCTCAAATACACATGCTCTTTTCCATTCTAAGATGCTTGACATTAACCAAATTCATAGCACACCCACACACACACACACGCACTCCCACTTCTGCACTGTGACTGGTACAGCTAAATCACGAGAAGACATTCTCTCTTGAGACATGCTAATGCATGTCTTGTGACTGAAACCTTTGCCTCTGAAATCCATTCTCCCAAGTCCTCTCTTCTTCTCACCTCAGTTTCAGAGGAGACATGAAAAGTTTAAAAAGGGCATTATGAGAAAGCAAGGGAAAAAACTATATACATAGCAATATGTGTGTCTGAACAAGCAAGCCAGTTGTGACTAAAAGTCAGCTCCCGTTCAGCGTAACTCCATAGTGTTGTTGTTATTGGTTGCCATCGAGTCGAACACAACTCATAGTGACCTTATGAACAAAAGGCCTAAAGCCTTTCTATAACTATCGACATTTATCAAAGTTCACAGGAGTTTCCAGAGACACGTTGTTTAGGAAGTGGATGCCATTCCTGCTTCCATATATGTCCCAGTAAAACTGTGTTCCAAGGGGTTCAAGGGTGGTGAACTTTTGTTAGCAGATCGCCAGGCCTTTTCTCCAAGGTGCCCCTAGGTTGGTCACAACAGCCAACTACCAACCTTTTGATTACTATTTGAGTACTTCATCATTTGATCCACCTAGCACCTCAATCCAGCATGGAGTGATACGCACACACATTTATATTCTACTAGACTAGATAAGGTTTAATACCTTTGATGATGTTAAAGCTAAGCCTTCCACCTTTCCATATGTGTTGATTCCTTCCAAAGACTGGCCCCTCTTAATAAACTGCCAAAGGCATGTGCCTATTTTGTATGTGTATATTACGTATGTATGACTATTGCAGTAATACTGAATTACACTATATTATACTATATTATACTAAATACTGTAGTTTGGAAACAGGAGTGGCATCCACTTCCTAAACAACATGCCTCTGGAAACTCTGTGAACTTTGAGAAACGATAGTTCTAGAAAGGCATCAGGTCTTTTGTTCATAGGGTCGCTATGAGTCATGCTCTACTCAACAGCAATCAACAACAACACGATATTAATAATTAATAATACAGTATTAATAAAGGTGCCTTGATGGCACCAGGATTAGGTGCTTGATTGCTCAACCAAAAAAGTTGACTATTTGAATGCACCAGCTCCTCTAAGGAAGAAACAGTGTAGCAGTCTGCCTTTAGAAGGATTTACAGCCTTGAAAACTCTTCCAGGGCAGTTCTGCTCCTTTGTAGAGCTAATAAGTCAGAACTGGCCCAACAGTTACAGATTTGCTTTGGGTTTTGTCACACTATATCATGCTATTTGGAAAAGAAAAAAAATTTAAAAAGAAGAGACCACCACAATTCACTGCTGTTAGTAACACTTCATTGGATTTCCAAGACTGTAAATCGGGATGGGAGGAGAATGCCGGTCTTTGTATAACATACTCTATGCTATTGGATGCTGAGAGCCTTATTAAATGGTCAACAGAATGGATGGTGCAAAGCTGGCCTTTTCTCATGCGAGGTGGTAGCAGATGGAACACGTTTCTTAGTTCTTAATTCATAGGGCCCCTCTACACTTCCTTAGCCTTTTTTTCGGGGGGTGGGGGAATATTGTGCTTGCTGCTGTCGTTTTACAACAGCCTGTGATGAACTCATCCTGCCCTGTCTTCCTTCTAGTTACGGACGAGTTTATGCTGCCGACCCCTACCACCACACACTTGCTCCAGCCCCCACCTACGGCGTTGGTGCCATGGTGAGTACCACTGCCTCCTCTTCCTCACGTCTTCCTGCTGCCCTTCCCTCCCACCCTGAGCTGGGACCTTCCTTCATCTGGGTTGACGCTTGACGTCCTCTCACTTCCCCTTAATTGAATTTGTCTCTTGTGCTAACAGCAGCTAAAATGCCACATTAATCCTCCCAGTAAACTTGATAAATGTCTTAATTTCTTGGCAATGTAGTGCATGTAAGTTATTATATTTCTAATTTTGCAAGTCTCACCTAGCGGAGCACTAACCTTAATGAAATAATTAGTCATTTTGATAATTAAATCCATCACTAACAGAATGCAGTGTCAATGCAGAACTTTTTTTTTTCTTTTTTTGTTTCCCTCCCTTGCTGCTCATTCACTTAGCCCCAAGGTTCCAGCCCCAGCACAGACTTCAGAGGATCTAAGCTGCACACTTCCAGGCCTCTGCTGTCAGACAGCTGAGAATCTGACTGCCTCTCCTCCCCTATTACAATTCATGTTTAAAGTCATAGTCGCCCAGGAGAGAAAATAGAGAAGGGCACACTTGGTCTGTGTGCCTGCTATCTAAGGAATTAGAAGGAATCAGTTGGGATTTTGGGGGGTTGCCTTTTTTGTTTTTTGGTTTTGTTTGGAGTTCTGGGTTTTTGCTTTAGGGGGGTGGGGGGGAGGGTCAAAAGGGGAGGAGAGGGTGGGGTGACTTTGCCTGTACTTGTTCAAACTTCTATGCACTAACACTCCTGAGTACAGTAAGACGTGCCCATCACGTGAGAGCGTATGCAATCATTTACAAAGCTTTTGGCATGCAGTTTTCTGCTTGGATCAAGAATTCTCAGTCCTCACCTTAAAAAGAAATCCCTATGGGCATTTGTTTGAATCCCCAGTACTCTTAGACGAAGGGAAGAGCTAGGTGCCACCTCGTAGCCATTGAAAGCCATGTCCAGACAATCCGCTGTTGTTTTGGTCATCAGGATGCAGCCACAATCTGCAGAGACGTGATTTTACACAAGCTCAGTCACATCAGTTAGCTTGTTCCTACTAGTTCCTCTATTTCCATGCCTTGTGCTGAGCCAAGTCAAGACGGAACTTTAAGTTACCATCCTGATTTTGCATCCAACCAGCTCTTCTGCTGGTACACCTCATCCACTTGAGGAATGTGCCAGAAAGTTGAAAGAACACGTTCAGCGAGTTGTCCAAATTTAGCCTCTTGGTCTTGGTCCAATGGAACAGAACCCAAAAGCCAAACTCATTGCCTTCAACTTGATTCCAATGCCTGACTCCTTTCGGTCAGAGCAGCTCCATAGGGTTTCCAAAGCTGTACTCTTTATGGGAGCCGACTGCCTGCCTCATCTGGTGCGTGTTTACTCACTGCGCCACCAGGGTTCCTTCAGTGGAACAAAGGTGTTAATCAGACAAACAAAACCAGACAAATCCCAAATCCTCCCATCATCTGGTTTGTACCGGGTCCTTTTTGTCCACTTAAGACAGAATTTGGTTTGACAGGGATTTTCTCGATCAGGAATGGTTGGGGGGAAGGAGATGAGGACCACCCCTATATGGTTAGCTCCCCAAGAGCGTCCTGGGATGGGTAGGGGTATCTCTGGTTGGTTGTTATTTTGGTTTTTTTTTGTTTGTTTTTTGTTTTGGTGGTTTTTTTTTTTTTGGTTGGTTGGTTTTGAAGTGTCTATTTTTGACATTAGTCTTTCTTTTTTTTATGATCCACGTGTTGCAAAAGGAAAATGTAAAAAACACACCCCTCACATTGCTTTGTTTCAGAATGCTTTTGCACCCTTGACTGATGCCAAGACTAGGAGCCATGCTGATGATGTGGGTCTCGTTCTTTCTTCATTGCAGGCTAGTATATACCGAGGGGGATACAACCGTTTTGCTCCATACTAAATGACAAAAACCATTGCAAACAAACAAAAACAAACAACAACAACAACAACAAACCTTCCAATGTGGGGAGAAAAGGAAGCTTTGCGAGGCCTGGGTATTGCAATAGATGCCGTAGTGCATCATTTTAGCAACTCTTAAAAACAAACAAACAAACAAACAAAAATAACCTAACTGAAAAGTAAATAAAGAAATAAAATCAAAGAAAATTTAAAAAAAAGAGGAAAAAATTTACATTTTTTATCTTATACCTCAGATATTTTGTTCCGTGTATTTTAATATCGTGGGTCTTTCATTTCTGAAGATTCTGTAGTTCGGTCGCAGGCTGTAGGACTTTTCTGTGGTTGATCTAGAGAGATGCTAGATATGCATAACAAATAAAAAAAACAAACAAAAAAAAACCCAACCTAATAATAATACTAATAACTGGTTTAGGGCCATAACCAGAGTTCTATATCATGTAAATGAATTATATATGCTGAATATTAAGCTTACTGGGGTTTATCTGCTATTTGGGAAGAAAGCAAATGACTACAGTAGTCATTTTTTTTTCCACATCTGCATTTATTTTAGTTTATGGAAGGAGAAGGGTGGGAGGGATTGGGCTGGGGTGTGGCTAAATTGAAGAAAAATAAAAAAAAAAAAAAAAGAACTGCAGCCTCCAATATGGGTTGAGGCTCAATGTCAAGAAGACAAAGATTCTCACCACTGGGCCAACTGGCAGTATCACGATGGATGGTGAAGAGATTGAGATTGTTCACAGCTTTAGTTTGCTTGGCTCCACAGCCAACACTCTTCGCACCAGTAGCCAGGAAATTAAAAGACATATTACGATGGGAAAGTCTGCTGTTAGGGACCTCTCCAAAGTACTGAAGAGCATGGTGTCTCTCTGGAGACTAAGGTGCATCTGATACAGGCCATGGTCTTTGCTATCACTTGTTATGCATCAGAGA